CTTTTTAAACCTAGCATGTTTTATGTGTATGTATGTTAGAACTATTGTTTGTGATTTTTTATTCAGTGTTTTTTGTACATAAGTTCACATTACTTATACGAAATTCCTACACCGAATTCTCCTCAGAGGCCCGAAGTGATAAATTTGAATGTAGATGAGTCTCAGGACAGAGAATTATGTCTTGTGTTTCAAATATCTTCATTAGACAGGTTGTTGTTTACTGTTTACAAATTGTCATTCATATGCGTTGAGATGTATACCTGCCTATTAAATAGTCGCTAAATATGCATAGAAAGATGTTAGACGACCCTAAAAAGGAGTACCATTAGCGGTACGCCCAGGCACCATGACGCATTGGGTAATTAATTAAATATTTATAGCTCAATGTCGTTTCCGCGTACAGGGTGGTATTGATCACCAGCTTAACGATTTGGACTTTTTGTACAAGAGCAGCGTATCTTTAGGTTAATGGTTTTCACTAGTGAAAGATAATTTCGGAGAATAGAAGTAATTTCAAAATGAAATATTTTTCGGGAGTACCATTTTGAAGATTCATTTATGGTTGTTTGAAGGTGATTGACATCGTTTCATGATGAATTTCATTTGTTCGGATTTACATTGTCTGATATTAAACTACTCAAAATGAATATACAGACATGTCCTTGAAATGCAATAAGTAAAAAAAATATGTATTATTTTGTCAAACATTCATATTTATAAAATAGTTTATAGGTGCCTTTATTGAATTTAACTTAGATTGTTTTCAAAATGCTGTTTGGTAATACGATTAAAAAGAAATACAAATGAGTGTCAAAANAAATGAAAAGTTAAGAGATTCCAAGCCAAGTAACTTCACGACGTTTCGATTGTTAAAATCCACAATCGTCTTCGGGTGATGACTGGACTAATTTCTCCGAGAGATGACTATTTATGGGTCATTCGAGTACTTTCACTTTATATCCGCTTTCCTTTTTCCGCTTCACCGATTTAGTGGGAGATGACCGTTAGGCGGGAGTTGGCCATTTCTTGATTATGGGTTTTCATATGTTGCATATCTCTAAGCTAGCTTGGCTGAATACATTGTTGGATAACCTGTATGCGGCTTCCTTGAATTTTGTCCTAAACCAATGTTCCTCTCTGTGTATGATCTCAGATTGGGACCACCCGATGTTCTGTTGATGGGTCCAAAAATGCTCTGCTGTTCCTGATTTGCTGGTTTCCCCTCCATAGAAAACAGTGCCAAAATCACAGAAAGAAATCTGATTTTCATAAAAAATAGTATTCAAGTAAATATCAGAGGCTGTAACGACAGAACAGGGAACAATGAAGATAATGATGACTTACAAATTAGTAACTTTATAATTGAGTGATTTTTGAACTACTTAACTACTAAACTATCATGTTCATTTGGGAAAATAGTTCTAATTTTTTATTTCTCCTAAAAGTTCAGATGAAATGAAAACACTCTGAAATAGATTGGTTCTTCTTCAATTAGAAAATTCATATTTGTTATGGTATGCACACTCTAATGTCAACCTCAGACAATGCCTTATACAATAACACATACGATAATAGTAATAGAATCATGATGAAATATCAATACATATATAGAATAACAAATATCCCAAAGGGTTATATTTCTAGGAGTGTCTAATTTTTGGGAAAAAATGTTTTTGGTTTTACTACTCCATCTTGATACAAAAAAAATTACTTCTTTGCATGATCTACACATTTATGTATAGAGTTACTTCTTTTAAAATTGATCGCTTTTTCCTTTCTTTGGAATATCCCCACATTTTTTTTTGTATCAAGATGAAGTAGTTTCAGTATAAACAAGATTCCTTCTGGCTGATATTCAATCAAATTAGTGAATGAATGTCACAATGCCATCGATGAAATAAGTAGATCAAACTCATTTCGTGACATAAAAATTGTAATTTATGAATGAAGTGTGTGTTATTTTCTCATGATATTATCCAGATTGGTACTGAAGAGCCCTAAGGTAAGTGTCTTACGGCAAAACATCGATGTCTACCAGTGAGGAGGACAGTGTTCCATGTAAGTGAAGAAATTTTTACCTTTCATTTGGTATATTGTGTAGAAATCTTGTGAATGATATCTGATTTATTTCCATAACGAATGTTTGAAATACAAACTGAGTAGAGAAAAATGTTTTTTGTATAATTCAGTGTTCATATGAAAGTTTTGGTTTCGAAAGAATTTTTCTTTCGTGTAATTCAATGTTTATATGAAAAGAGCTGCTTCAGAAGGGCTTTTTCTCCCATTTTGTGTCTGAAAGTTACTTCTTTGCATGATCTCTGCATCTATGTATATAGTTACTCCTTTTAAAATTGATTGCTTCTTCCTTTTGGAAGATTCCCACGTTTTTTTGTATCAAGATGGAGTAGTAGAAAGCCAAACATTTTTTCCCATCAAATATTCATTTAAAAAATGTTTCAAAAGTTTCGTAGCTCGAAAAATTAACCAAGCGTTTGGCAATGATAGTGTTAATGAATGCACTCTTCGACATTGAGCCTCGAAGTGGTAGGACGATGATTTGAGAACCCTGGTGGAGACCAAACCATCACAAATGGTGCGTGGGATGACTGGGCGCTAGCTTCCATGGTATAAACCGTATTGGAAACGTTAAAAGCTCTAAAAATGGTTGCCCCACGATTTGAACCGGGCCAGGCTATCGCAGCAGAGTCCTATTGTAAGAAAATCCGGCACCTGATCAACAAAAGAGGTCCGAACTGGCTCCACGACAATGCTCGTCCACGTGTTTCACAAATCACCGTTCAAAAATTAAAACGAATTGAGGGTCGAAATTCTGCCTCACCCACTACACTCCCCAGACCTCTCGCCAAGGGAGTAACATCTCTTGAAGCACTTCGGTAAATTCGTCGTATTCATCGAATCCTTAGAGAACAATTTCAATGCTGACGGAATTAATCAACTTGTATTACGTTGGCAAAANAAAGTCTCTATGAAAAATGTATTGAAAATATACCTGTTGATTATTCATTGATGAGCCCAAAAAAATGACAGATATATATGTGAAATACAATCAAATGAGAGTGAATAATAACATTCGGTTGTTGTGAATGACAAATCAATGAAAATCGTAAGTGAAAATTTTGGGAACATTTTGGGGGTTTATTATTTCTCAGCACATACTTATTGTGTTTCATGTTTTTGATATTGAAGAGATAGGAAAACATGAAGTAAAAACATGGAATGAGAAGAATGTGAAAGTGGTTTTGAACTGGTAATGAATGAATTCTTGGTTCAAAAAATCGGTAGGTACATACATTGTAACTGGTGACCACTTTCTAAACTTTTTTGAAAAATATTTATTTAGTTGAAATATCTGGACCCCCAAATTTAACTATGAAGACTTTTAATGAAAGATTATGAAAATGAGACAAATTTCCTAAAAAAATGTTATTGAAAAATATCTACTATATTCAAAATGTCGTTCAAAATTAGCATTCCTATCAATTTCAAAATTTTACAGCTCGAATCATATTTCTTAATATCTTTCGTAATGTTTAAAATGCTTTTTTTGAACACTGTTTGAGGGAACTCCTCCAATATTTCGTGGGGACTGCTTTTATGAGAAGGGAATGTTTGGGAGAAAACCCTCTTTGGAGAAGACAATATTGATTCGGATAAAAAATTGAAACTATTCTTGAAAGTTATTTCTTTTAAGAGGAGTAGGTACCTATAGAGAGTCAAGAATATTTTTTATGTAGGTACTCCATGAAACCATTTCCGAAAACAATTTTATAAAATTCTCAGAAATCTTCTAGAAGTGGGGAAAGCTAAGGAAAGGTTTTAGAATAATTTAACGTTGGCATCCATGTTATTTCGTTTCACAGTACAACAATACTATATATCTATATCTATGAAGTTCTTAACTGTCTCCCAAACGTTGGAGTTGTAGATTTCCTCTTGGTCGTGGTGTTTCATTATTATAACCATAATGGAGAAAGCTCTCGTTTTCCAATTTCTCAATTCCACATCACTCATTTGAATTCCCCGCATATTACTGAGCAGTGAAATTAGTCCTTTTGACAGCGTGTGCCGATCATTTAGAGGAGGGATTTCGATTCTCCATCTAAGGACAACTTATCCTTATATGGAGCCGAACCATTCTAAATATGGCATTGGGCTGTCCTAACACTGCTTGTTTACATCCCACTTTTGCCTTTTATTGTCTCGCCTTTCGACTTCCTCCCATCACAACCGAATCTAGACACCCGGTAGAAATGAAACGAGGTCTCTAACCGCTTATTTTTACTTCACAGGGATGCTGAATAGGAAATTGGAGTATATTTGGAAGAATTTTGCTTATTCCAAAAACAACTATGCTCAGGTTACGTAGATTCTATCACCGAACGATGCCGCGATTAGAATTCGTGGGTCTGACAGAAACAGAACATACGAAGAGTGTGAACACTAGAGACATGCGCATTTCAACAATGCATGTATTGGCCGCAGGAGGTGCATGTTGTCAGATTTACCGACTGTTTGTATTGAAGAGGAATCAGTGGTGTATTTCGTACTGAATAAACATTTTCTTACTTTTTCTGTTACAAGTTTTCAGATGACAGTTCACATTTTGATCGTTCAATAACAAAACTAGATATTTTTGAAATATTTTTCTGTTTCATTCTGATTAAATATCGGTAATAAGTGGCTCACACAGTCAGATATTGCACTCTTTGAGAGTCACTAGTGATTATTATTAGTGCAATAATATACAAGTCATACCTGTAACAGCAACTGGTGGATAGGACGACATAGAAATGATGCATATTCAAGATGTTGAACGACAGGTTCAAAAATCTCGAAATGAATTTAGTTGTTGGTATGGACAGAGTTCCAATCGTCATATCGTATATGCTTGGAAAAACGGTGAACGTGTCAACGCCGCAGTAGACCGTTGGGCGGCGCACATCGCCCCACGATTCTGTACTACAGATCGTATTGTGCAGTCAGCTGTGTTTGTGTACAATTACGAAGTGCGCTCCGAACTTGTACGTTTCGCGAGTTCGTTGTTACATTGTTTTCTGTCAAACTGTGGTGCGAGATGGAACCACCGGGCGGGAGGGATTCCCGTTTCAACCTCGGGTACAGCATGAATTTGCTAAGTAGTGAAACTCCACCGGAAATTTACGGCAACCCCAATCTAGGCAGGCCGTCAACCAGTCTACAGCAAATGTCCCCAAGGCATACTATGGTATCTAGTGCATGTAATCGCGGCCTCAAGTCAGACTTGTACGACGAGAGAGGCATGTCCAGTCAAGGAATAGGACTCGATAGTTGTGTGAATGACATCAGCGACGATACATACTCGATGCAGTCGAAAAAGTCGCCACCGAACAACGGAAAGAAGACCAAAGGTCGTGTTAAGATCAAGATGGAGTATATCGAGAACAAACTGAGAAGGTATACCACATTTTCAAAGAGGAAAACTGGAATAATGAAGAAGGTAAGTTGGGATAAAAATATAACCTCTACGATATCTCAGACTGAAGTTAGCGCATGCACGTGAGATTATGCGCGCGCAACGCTGTCTTGTCAGATCGTACACTGTTGCCACGTATTGTGGTAGATACGTCTGTTTCAATGAAAATGGATAAATGTACCCAAAATAAGGGTGCATAAATAACAATGGGTTGTCATGAAACAATTGGATCAGTCGACTTGTTTAAAAAAAGGTTATGATTACTCAATAAGACATTACTTTTATCGATTGCTCAAAAACTCATGTGGAAGAAAATATTGCTCAGACTCTCTCAAATGACGATGTCTCAAAAACTAAAATTGAAAATTTCAAAGTCTGTTCTGAAAGCTTTTATGAATCGGTTACGATAATATATTTACTTTTTTCACTGTTATTTTACTGAGTATTCATTTCATTTGCACAACGGTTTTTTCTAGACCTTTTTGAGATATTAAGTATTCAGTCTCATTGTTATTTTCAAAATAACATTACTCTTCTACTACTCTAACTTGGTCCTTTCAATCCTAGCTTCATTTCATGCCCTTTAATAAACTATTTGAAACATATAAATTGGAACATTCTAAATATATGACAGTTTGAAGAATGGATAACTAGTAATTTTTTGAAAATCATAAAAAGGAACTTTCAAATTTGAAAATTTGGACGTCATATCATATTGAAAATATTCGACAATATATTTTAGAAATGATGCTTGTAATAAGAAATTTTTTTCAAAATTATAACTCATACCTACTCATAAGTCTTCTCGATTGATGTTCGAAATTTATGTCAGTATAAAATATATTGACTTGCATTTATTGATTTCAATACTAACTTGCCGATAGAATCGGTCGAAAAAAAAAACAGCATATCTGCGATTAACCAGCCTTCTTCAACTTGCCGATTATGTTTACAAATGATTATTAGGAATTTTGTAGACCTGTAGATAAATAATGACTTATCTTCTGAAATTTTCTTGACGCGACAACAACGCATTGACCATCCTCTCTATAAAAATTTACATGAGTTCTACATCTGCCAACAGTTATCAAATTTCCCACTCATTTACACGCGTTTTTATCGATTACTGAACGCATGCTGCATCTGTACCTGAAAAAAAACATGTATTGATTATTATATTTGGAAAATTGTCCAGCAATTCATCAGGATTGACTGAAAATACAAGTACGTGACCGAGATACTCGTGGAACTGATTCATTGTAATTTTACTTCAGAGCGATTACTTTTGAAAATTGGGCTCACTTAGCAAATTTTTTTCGTTTCAATTTAATGTTGTATTAAACTTGGATGGACTACTTAAGTGAAGATGGATTATTCATTACCTACTAATGAATTGGCGTCTTCTTCGTTACAATTCATTAGATCTTCACGAGTTTTGACTCTTATCGAGATTATGTAAAGGATTACTACTAAGTAGTAATCACTTCAAAAAGTAGTAATTGTTCATTACTTTATGATACGATAACTCACAAAGTTCAAGACCAAATCTGGGGTATTTTTCAGGAATAATCTTGAAAACTCATACTCAAATGTAAAAATTCTAGCGTTATTCATGAATGCTAGTAAAAATTCAACTAAAACCTCATACCTATGTGCAATCAGGGAAATCAGACACCCCTTTAATCAAATATTATTCAGTGGGTTTTGGCTTTCTACTTCTCCATATTTATACAAAAAATGTTGGAAACTCCCAAAAATTAATCTCTCCTGAAAATATGCCCTTTTCATTTCAAGGTTATTCGATTATATTTTAGATTTTGCGAAATACTCATATTAAATTATAATTGCTTGAAAGTAACTTTGTGGAAAAAAATATTTTGTTCATCAAGTATTTGGATAGGTATTATGATTTTTTGCAATAAGACACTTGAAAATCAAGTGTCTGCTGAATGTATCCTGAAAACTTGCTGCATTATTATCAACTTTCATTTATTTGTCTGTTTATCACGAATCTGAATACAAAATTACTTTTGACGATGAAAACGCGTGTTTCTTGACATTCACATGCTGTAGACATTCATTCGTACGTTTCACTTGAGTTTTCGTTACCTATTTGTTGGCAATATCCTGGTAAGTAAAAGCAAAATTCTATTTTTGTTCCCAAGAACGAAAAATAACATAACATAACTAATACTAATGTTCAAGCTACAAGGTACCCATTTGGGAAACTTATCAACACATTATTTAGGTAACACCTTCTGTTATGATTACTTTGTTTCAACAGCAAACATTCATATTATACAGATTGATTGGCCAAAAATACAATACAGTGGTTGAATTTGTTGATTAAGAATTATCTAGGTTATGTTTTGAGCAATATTCATTGTTGTGTTGTGAGGAAAAAAGTAAAATTCTTCGTTTTACTGCATCATGCATAATATAAACTGTTGAGATTAGAGGGCAAAGAGAAGTAGGTATCTGTTTTCTTTATTTTAAATTCAACTTCTGAAATTTCTATGAAATTCGATGAATTTTCTGTTGAAAGTAAGGCATTTGTGAATTTTTTCAAAGTATTCCATTTTCTGATAACAAATTTGATTGAAGCAAAATTATCAAGTCGACATTAATTTATTTCAAACCACTGAATATTTATGAGTTACATTACATAGACAATGTTTAGTATATAAAACCAAGGAAGTTCTGATTATATTATCTCCATATTATATTTTTATGAAGATTTATTAAATTCCTGTTTGATTAATGGCTACGTTGTTAAAATTCTGAAAATATATACAATAATTCTGCTATAAAATGTAATCAATTCCAATCAAACCGAAGACTTTCAATACGTACCATAGTAATCGAAAAAGTACTAGATTGTATTGTTCAATTTATAAACAACTTCTTGCTAATATTGAAGGAAATGATATACTTCCACATTATCAGTAATTTTTAGATTTCAAATCATAGCACCATCTATGTGTTAGGCACGAGACTTTTAAGCTAATTCAATGGGTATATAAATCAAATTGAGCATGAATACGTGGCCTCCAACTCCAAATTACATCTTAATTACCGAACATTATTAGACTGTGTGCCATTTCGTGAAAATAGAGCTTCTCGAATTTTGGAACAGTCTCAGGATAAGACCGATTTTGGCCCGGCTCTGCCGGAGCCCAGAGGGGTAGTAGGCCTCACTTTCTCGACTGTTCCATTAACATTTCGTAGTAATTGTGGTGCGTACAAAAATTATGAGCGTACGTTCGCACTGACGGTTGATGTGGGCAAAAGATTTTCTTGATTATAGAGTGAGGTGTCGCGTTACCCGAGGCATCAATTTGGCAGCGATGATTTATATCGAGAGATTTGTTTTCACCTCAGATTTCTCTTCGGGCGTAATCATCGAGACTGTAATTAATGTCCGATAGGTTTTTAGTACCTCGACCACCAAATTTTCTTTGTGTCGGAGACGTCGGATAAATAATTACCAGTATGTGAAAAAGGAAAAGAAACTACTCAGCAATACATAAAAATCAAATTTATGATCAAAATGGCAAATCCTTGATGAAAATCCATAACTAACGTAATCAAAAAACACTTGATTGTGAAATTTTCACTAAACTATCTTATTTCTTATTCGATAACACTCATATCACTGAAATCCACAATGTGACATGACATTTCAGCTTTGATAAAGTTCGTACTGAACTGTATGAACCTATACACTTTAGGCAATACAGTTGGGTCGGTAAAAGAATACAAATGTGTCATCAATTTGTTTTTTTCAAGGACAAAACACAAGCACTACAGGAAAAACCGTAAGGCGCTCTCAGAGCGGTGCCTGTGCGAAATTAGCGATTCATATCGGATATGGAAAAACGTTCTCAGGAGGTGTATTTCACTTAAACGCAGTTCTCCAGATGAAAGAGTTCTTTAAAAGTGAATTTCGAGGTGTCCTGAGTTGAACCTCAAAACGATGAGCAGCCACAGTCCGTCGCGTATTTCTGATATGTGCAAGTCACTTGAACATCTCCCCTATAGAAGAGAGACGAATCTCCAACCTTTCTTGATATTCCAGACTATCAAGGATGCAAGTGATGTTATCTTCTCCAATCAGGCGGATAGATCTTTTCTGGATGGAATCCAGCAACTTCAGGGAGCTTCAGGGAGCTTCAGGGAGCTCCATACATGAGAACAGTACTCAGACCTTCTGAGCTTTATAAAGCATCAAAAGTTGCTGAGGTGTGTACAGTTTTCTGGTTCGGAACAGTGTTTCAAGCTTTTGAGAAGCAGCCTTTGCAATTCCTTTTTGAAGCACAAAACGGTAAACTCCGATATTTAGCAATATAAATATTCCATCAGACTCCTTCCCGATTCGAGATTAAAAGTCATAATTACGATAAAAAAGTTCGTTTTCTTCTTCTTCTTCTTAATTTTGGTCACAGCTTCCAGATTTGGCGCTATTATGACCAGTGCTCTTTTTATTATAGTGATAACTATAATAAAAACTTTGTCAAGGGAGTATAAGAGTCTTGTTTTTCACAATATTGTACTTCATTTTTTCATTCTTAATATATTTTTATTCTCTGTTATTTTATCTCTTCTTCAATATATTATAAAAAATTATCGTCTTCTTCATAAAAGATTATTTGTTGCGATCCTACATCCGGTCCACTCCGGCCTCTAACCGGCGTGAATGAGAGTACTATTTATTTCAATACACTTAACACTATTTTTCAATTAACTTTTGATGCTGGTACGTTATTTAATGGCGGACATACACAACACGAAATGAGTTCCATCTCCAACAATGACGTGTGCGTACCTTCTTTGTGGACGGTCGTTATCGAAATCATCTATTTGTGAGTATAAAAAAACCTATAAACGACTAACGTTTGTATAGCTATCTGTCGTCGATGTACTGAGTGCAAGAAGCTATAATTCAAACTTGAGCCCTTCGCGATAAAACGCGAATATTTCCTCTTTCTTTTTAAGTTGTGGAAAAAATGCTACTACAAATGTGT